ACCACTTTCGCCCTTAGTAGAGTGTATCGGGAAAATTGTCCCAATCCTAGCCGCCACTCAAGCTCTCTCCTTCACGCTGCCATGTCGGTACTTCGACGATGTTCGATCTGGCGGTGTCGTAGGGCTGTGAGGGTACATGTCGCTAGATTTATTAAATTAATACTTAATTTAATATAAGTAGTTAAACAGTTAACTAGACTAAACTTTTTATCATAGTACTTTGATAAATTAAGCGGGCGAGCGGCGGGAATCGAAGCCGTATCTTCTCCTTGGCAAGGAGATATTTTACCATTGAACTACGCTCGCTACGGTATATATTTTATAGTGTATATCCGCCTGGGTCGACCTTCTATGTCTGGGTCGACCGTTTCATTTCATTTTCTATTATATTAGAGTTTTCCTTTTTTTATTATCTGTCAATGAATATTCTAATGGGAATGGAATTTCATAATACTGAAAGAGAAGAGCTAGCAATTCGGAACGCAAAATGCGTTTTAATACGTCTCACTATTCTAATTTTTTAGAAGAAATGGCCTTTATTATTTCTTTTTTATGGGGTTAATAAATATTAACCAAATTTAATTTAAGAAATGAGAGAATTCAGAATAGCTACGAGAAAAGACTAGTCCAATCCATAATGATGTACCGGAAAATACAACATTTTTATTATTTGACCAACCATCAGGAGAAGCAAATACAAAGGGTACACTAATTATTAAGATTGAGGAAGTCGCAATTAATGCAAAAACAGCTAATTGGAAAGCAATAGTCATATTTCTAATCCTCCAAGCTACCATCAAATAAAGTTGACTATACATATTTGATCCCTCACTTAAACCAAAATTGTAAAAAAAATACAAGAAGTAGGAGGGGTTTAATCATGAATCCATTGATTCTTCTATTTAATTCAAATTTATTAATTAAACCGCTTTTTATTTGGATATGGGGTGAGAAGAGATTATTTACTCTTTATTTCACAAGCGGGTATAGTGGATCATGTATCCGTGTATACAGTATACAGAGATATATCGAAAAGGAACTTGTATCTGACATCTTTCTAGAGGCTAACAAATCTTTTTATTTTTTATATGGCTATGTTCTATTTGTAGGAGTAAAATAAGGATTAGGCTGTAGAGAGATGGCTGAGTGGTTGATAGCTCCGGTCTTGAAAACCGGTATAGTTCTAGGAACTATCGAGGGTTCGAATCCCTCTCTCTCCTTTTGCTTATTGAATACGTTTGTTTCTTTCATTGTTTTCTGTCCCTTATCTTTCTTTCATAAAAAGGAATGAATGGCTTGGCTAGATGGAATAACCAAGCCAGAACAGAAAAAAAGTAGAACATGTATAAATAAGAAAATCTTAGTTAAGAGGGTTCATGTAAAGAATAGGTTCCAAATCACGATCGATTCCCTTTTCAAAACCTGCTGCGGCAGCTCGGCCTCTTTCTGCATGCCATAAATGTCCCACAAAAAAGAAGAATCCTAGAACAAAATGAGAAGTTGATAACCAACTTCTAGGAGAGAGATAATTAACTGCATTGATCTCGGTAGCTACGCCACCCACGGAATTTAAAGAGCCTAAAGGAGCGTGGGTCATATATTCTGCTGAGCGTCGTTCTTGCCAAGCTTGTATGTCTTTTTTTCAACCTACTCAAGTCCAAACCGTTGGGGCCCCTTAGAGGTTCTAACCATGGAGCACGAAGGTCCCAAAAACGCACTGTTTCCCCTCCAAAGATAACCTCCCCGGTTGGGGAACGCATTAGATATTTACCTAAACCTGTGGGTCCTTGAGAGGATCCCACGTTAGCTCCAAGACGCTGGTCTCTAACTAGAAAAGTAAATGCTTGAGCTTGAGAAGCTTCTGGCCCGGTGGGTCCATAAAACTCACTCGGATAAGTTGTATTATTGAACCATACAAAGCAACAAGCGATAAAACCAAAGACAGATAAAGCAACTAAACTATAAGACAAGTAAGCTTCTCCAGACCATACAAATGCACGGCGAGCCCATGCGAAGGGTTTGGTTAAAATATGCCAAATTCCGCCAAATACACAAATAAAACCCAACCATACATGCCCACCAATTATATCTTCTAAATCATCTACACTAACAATCCACCCTTCTCCACCAAAAGGAGATTTTAGTAAATAACCAAATATAACACTCGGGCTAAGGGTCAAATTGGTAATTTTTCTTACATCTCCCCCCAGGGGCCCAGGTATCATATACACCGCCAAAATAAAGAGCCTTGAGTACTAGAAGAAAAGCACCTAGACCTAACAAAATTAAGTGAATACCCAAAATTGTAGTCATTTTATTTCTATCTTTCCAGACATAACCAAAGAATGGAAAAGATTCCTCAAGAGTCTCAGGTCCCAGAAGCGCGTGATAAATGCCACCGAAGCCTAAGACTGCGGAGGAAATTAGGTGAAGTACGCCAGATACAAAGTACGGAAAAGTATCTAGAACTTCCCCCCTGGCCCTACTCCCCAACCTAGAGTAGCTAAGTGTGGAAGTAAAATCAACCCTTGTTCATACATGGGCTTTTCTGGTACCGGGGGGAGGGGGGTGAGGTGGTGACTCTATTTGGTTGCATCGAAATTATCTAACCACTTTCGCCCTTAGTAGAGTGTATTTGGAAAATTGTCCCAACCCTAGCCGCCACTCAAGCTCTCTCCTTCACGCCGCCATGTTGGTACTTCGACGATGATCGATCTGGCAGCGTCGTAGGGCTGTGAGGGTACATGTCGCTAGATTTGTTGACTATTTTCGAATCTTAGTGGATCTTAGTAGTTGGTGTATCAATCAAGTTAAGTAGTGGGCTGGCACTTGGTGTGGTGATTTTGACATTTTTCTATCAATTTTTTTTGCGGCATGGTTCGGTTTCTCCACCCCATCTAGACTGGTGGTGAAGCATTATAAGCCTACATTACGTGGGATGATGCCCCAACTGATGTTCCTTTAATGTTTACTAGACATTGTTTCTAGCAGTGAACGGTTGTCACAGTCTTCAAAGCTTAGTTTAGCGAAGGAGTTTGCAAGTGTCCCTTTTCCTTACCGGTGATTCAGTGTAAGTTTCAAACTTTGACGGGTGATGTGCAATCAAAGTAAGAAGACGGGTTTGTTTGTAGTCTATTTTTTTGCTCGCCATTTCATATCTTGTTGTCTTTTCATTGTATGAACTATTGTCTTTTTTTAATAATTATCAAATATAAGATGCCTTATAAGTGACTTTTCTCGAAAAAGCAATGTATCAGTGAAATGCAGTTATATGACCGACATGACCACATCGATCATTGATTGGCCCGTTCCTATCGTCGTCCACCCAATCTTGTCATTGCCTGTCTGATCCTCTCCACATCTTAACATCAAGATCTTGCACTGTCTTTCAGGTTCCTCCTCATCAATGGTCCACCCCGCATGTAATTTCATTGTTGCTCCCGCTGATCCGTCGACCTTTTGTAGATCACCAGCTCGGTACACATAGCCTGACGCAGGAGAATCTACACAATGCCAATGCCACAAAGCTCTCATGACTTGCACAGAAAGCATATACAACTTATTGCACACATGCACCTAAGCACACATTGGCAAATTAGCACAACTTACTGAGTACAAATGCATTTCTTTCTTTGGCACAAGGACAACTTAGTAAACATTGGCTAAATATTAGAACACGTAAGCATAATAGTAGCATCTATAGCGAACGAGGTGATTCCGTGCCGAGGCTCAGCTGCACCTACGATGAACAGAAAATTCAAAAAAAAAAACTAGAAAAATTCAAAAAAAATCTGGGTTTTTTTTGCATGGAAGATAATCTGATGCGTGAGGTGCGCTCCAAATTTCAGACCATTAAACATATAAGTAGCTCTCAGCAAAAAAACAAATTGGATCAGAACAATACGTAAATAGTAAACTTTTTCATAGACTCACCATACTCCTAATTAAAATAGGGTATTCAGGGTTGGTGGCGAACTGGTCATGGGTTCCAGCTGAGCACTATGAAGTAGGCCATTCAGGGTTTGTCGTGATGATTTTCACACCAACCCCTTAGGCAAATGAACATACAATCTTTCATCAAACAATTTATAATCAGCAAAGGTTCTGCTCTTGTGTGACTTCACATAAGCCTATACAACTTATTACACACATGCACCAACGCACACATTGGCAAATTAGCACAAATGCATTTTTCTTTCTTTGGCACAAAGGACAACCAACCAAGTCAGCGCATGCAATCGTTGGCAGAAGTACGACTGCGAAATATTAGTACACGTAAGCATAGTAGTAGCATCTATAGCACCATACTCCTAATTAAACTAGATGATGCCCCGCGCGTTGCAGCGGAAACTTTGTATTACATGATGTTTAGAAAGTAAGTGTAAAATATGGAGTGAATAAAATGATGGTATTGGATGTTTTATGTACAAAATAAATAGCTGATGTCCAACTCATACATGCATAACAATATCACCATCATGTTTCTCTGGGTTTAGAAAGAATATAGGCATTATGGAACAGATCGCTTGTTTTCTGAAACAATGTCTAGCATGAATTAAATCAAGGCTACAGAGAGCATGGGTCCTAAAGCAAATTGACTATAGCCGATCAAAGAATGTAGTAAAATCGACATATGCCTTACCAAAGTAAATAAGTTAACTATCAGCCAAAATCTCATTTTTAGCTTCTGTTTAGTAAAAAAAAAAGTAAGGGCACACATCATATTGAGTCAAACACTGATGGTCTGATCTGTAATCGATTAAATACTCCTTTTCTTCCCTGACAATATCAAGTATAAGTCATTAAATGAGTACTGTACTGGATTATTGGTCCTACTAGCAGAATGTCCGTGCGTTGCTACGGGCTATCCACCATGTTATCTTCAACATCCGGGTCCAACACAAAAACCTCATCCCTCGATGCATCTTCCCTTTTTTCTGTTGGAACCTTCCCTTCCCGCTCGGTTTACCGTTGTAGCGGGACATTTCTCGCTGGAGCCACTTTCTTTAAAAGCAGATAACGTTCATCTCATCTTCGTCATGCATTGCAATAGGGATGGAAATTTTCATGTTTATAATATAATAGAGTGGGTTAACCTAACACATACTATTGACACAAAACAACAAGTAACTATAGAAATCATTCTCAAAGGTCCATTCAACTTTGCAAATGCACACTGACGTCAGAGGCGAGTTGAAATGTGAACATATTCCTAGTCATCAGTATGCTCCACCTCCAGCGCCCACGTACCATTCATTGCTACAAGGGATAATTGTCGTTCTTCTCTTTCTCGTCCTACTGTCTATGCTTACACTGCACAAAAGGTGAACTTGATTAATGACCACGATATATAGCCCAACTTAGCCCATATAAGAAAACAAATGATTATTTTGTTTATGAAAATATCGTTGACAGTTAATCAAGGGTTCAACACTAAACTACTGTTCTTTTGCATCAGATTACTGTTACATTGGAATGCTTTGATTTTTCTTTTCTGGTGGTAAAACAAGGAATCATTACGGATGTAACATTTGCAATAAGTGAAATACACATCATTGTCGTGCTAAAACAATACAATTCTTTCATCACCACAAAAAGGTGGAGAAAAACAAATAGAGTGTATAGATTTGAAATTGAAACTGTATACATTTAAATTGGCAAAAGCGAATATACATTGGTTCAGCAAAACAATGCAAAAGCCTATCACTGGAGAGAATTAATGTTCACTAAGTGAAGCCATGTATTATAAGATTATGTATATCGTGTTTAGGAT